GACACTAACTGGGTGATGAAGCGCCCACTGGAAGCACCACAGGCAGAGAGGAGCTCAAACCCAGCAGGGTAGTGTGACGTGTCCGCATCCCCCGGGTCCTGGCCACCTCCCGACGGGAGAGGCGTGAGGAGGGGTCCCCGGGGGAGCCCAGCGTGGGGACAGGCCTCCTCCGGTGCCCCGCCCAGCCTCCTCCCTCTCAGCGCTGCGGCCCCTCCACCCAGAGGTCACGACCTCCACACTCCTCTTCCAGGACCCGGCTAGTGACAAGCCAGCACCCCTGGCATTTCCTCCCGGGAGGCCACGCGATGAGCAAGGACAGGCCCGGGAAAGCCGGGACCCGCAGCCCAGCCTTCGTGAAAACGGCGCCAGAGCTGCCCAGAGCTTCTCTCTAAAGCCCGCTTTCTCACCGACGGGCTCTCTGGGTCGGAGTTGATAACGTGTACTTTGTCCTGTCCGTCAAGCTCCTGGTCCCTCGCGATTGGCCCGCACAGTGGCCTGGCCCCCCACAGGCGAGCTTGGTGTGTGCGGACAGCCGAGTCCCACCTCGTGGACTTGGGCTGAGCTCTCCGTGTCCCGGCTCCGGGAGACCGGGCACCAACTAGATGGGCCAGGGCCTCCTCCAGGGACCCGGCGGCCCCACCACACTCAGGACCTGCTTGCTAACCCACCAAGAACACAGGAGGGAGCCCCATGTGCTTGTCACAAAGCAGGGCCCACGCCCGGGCACAGAGAGATGTGTGGTCTCCGGTCCTTCCCTGAAGAATTTGACGCGCATCACTGTCTCCTCACACGGGACGGTGGCCCCGAGGCGCACGGGAGCCACGAGAGGGAGGGTCTGAGGGCTCAGGAAGGGATGCGGCTCCCACAGCTCCGACCCCGCCCTCCCGTCAGCCAGCACCTGCTCGCCCGCCTGCCTCATCGCGTGGAGCATCACACACACGTGTCTCCCACCGCGAGGGAAACTCACAAAGCAGCACGGAGGGTGCTTCCAGAGGCCGCCACGCCCCCGGCAGGGCGGCCCCGCCCACCACCTCCAGGGCCACTCACCTGCTTCCGCCCTGTCCCTTGAGGTCAGACATCTTACGCTCTCTCAGGCGAGGCCAGGAATTCCAGGAGAGCGAAGTGCACAATCTACTTCACAAAGGACTAGACTCAGTTCTGGATAAAACCTTTATGAGTTCCGTCAGCTGCAGGGTTCGATTTCTCTGCCACGATATCCTAGCAGAACTGTAGGTGATTAAACGATGGTGCATACTGACGCGCATGAGTATGCAGTGAATCAATGAAAAAACAAAACAAAATGCAACACAGGTTTCATCTTTTATTCTTAAAAACATGTTTATATTGATTTTTTCTAGAGAAACATCGATCGGCCGCCTCCTGCACGCCCCCTACTGGGGATGGAGCCCACACTCAGGGCATGTGCCCTGACTGGGAACAGAACCAGCAACCTCCCAGTGCCTGGGATGACGCCCAACCACTGGGCCACCCAGCCAGGACAGTTTAATCTCTCAACGTGGTTATGAGATGCAGCAGCACGGGTCTCAGTCCGAGCTGGTTTGGAACGTACACAGGGCGCACTCACCCTCGGCTCAGACGCTCACGCCCACTGCACACACGACACGCCCACCACGAAGGAAATGCAGTGAAATGACAGCTCGGTGAAGAACCAGCAGAGGGGAAAGGATCAAAACAGGCCCCTTCAATTCTGACCTTTAAAAAGATTAACTTTCCAAATTAAAGGCTTTCCTGGTCAGATACCAGGGAAGGAAGGATCAGAAGGGCTGGCCACGCCTCCAATTCCACTTTCTCTTTGTGCTTTGCAAAATCCACGGGATGAAAAGGGACAACACGGGCCAAGAACCACGACCTGGGTACGAGCTAAAGCTACATCCGTGAGCTCCGTCTGCGTGGCGGCCGGCCGCCGTCACATCTTCTTAGTAAGACGCTCACGAGGAGGATCCCTATCAAACCTCCAGACCACACCGTCCCGAGGGCCAGGTCCTCACAGCCGCGTGCAGCGCCCACCGCGCCTGTGCCCACGCCCGCGCCCTGCACCTGAGGGCTAAGCACACTGTAGAGACGCATTTGGACCTTGAGCTGTGCTGGCATCACACCCACGTTTTACACAGGACCCGCCATTCCCCACGTGCAAAGGCAGGGTCTCAGGTCGGGTCTCCCGTCTGCCGCCATCCCCGCTGGGGGACACGGAGCACGCTTCCCATCACCGACATCCCGTGCGCCTTGCCGTGACCTGAGCACGTCTAGTCTTTTCTGTCTGTGCCCCCTGCCGGCCGCGGGGCAGGCCAGGTCCTCTCTCTCCTCTGCTCCTCAGACGAACCTGTGAGCGGACGGAGCGTGGAGACCCGAAGCTGCTGGGCCCTCTGGGCGGGGCAGGTGAGCCGAGGAGGAGGGAGCTCAGGTGCTGTCCGGGCCAGAAGATCTGCTCTGGAATGAGGTGCGGATCCGACGCCCGCCGGCCACAGCAGGCAGTGCCGTGTGCGGCTTGGCAAGTCTCCCCCACCCCCACCAGAGCTGTCGCTGGTCTCAGAACCAGGTGCAGGAGAGGCGGGACCAAGGGCCGCACACACCTTGGCTGGGAATCACTTGTCAGTACCTCACTTTCCCACGGTCTGCACGCAGGAACCTGCCTGAATAAGGACAACTGGTTTCGACCCCCAAGACCAGTGTCTGCTCCGTGATCACTGGTGCGTCCCCGTCACAGGGACCCTGGGAAGGTGGGCACGCCCATCGTCCGTCCAGGAACCGAGGCGCCAGGTGACTGCGCTGGCCATGCCGCCAGCACACGCAGTCGCCCGGGAGTGACGCAGGGGCAGCTGGTCTTGGTCCCTTGCTGAGAGGTGCGGTTTGCTCCCAGCCCACAGGTTCCTCTGAGGAAGTTTCTGGGGTGGTTCCCTCCCTCCCGCCAGGTCATCTGTTTTGCGATCTGGACAACAAGACGTAATGAAATAAAACGTGTGTGGTCTGGAGCTCAGCAGTCGGCAGCGGCTGCGGGTCCTCGGGCAGCTGCCACGCCTCACGGCCTCGGGCCTGCGGGGTGTGAGCACCGGGGACGAGCTCGCGGCCATGAGCCGGGAAAGGAAAAGCAGCGAGGCCCACCGCCAGGCGCGTCGGCTGACCATGCAGAGCCTCGGTTCTCCCTCCCCGGTCCGGGCACAGCACACGCGGGCCACACGGCTTCCCCGACTGCGGAGCACCGGGCGGGCCCCACGCGCACCCGGGCCAGCCTGCGGGCCCAGCGGGGAGGCAGGGCGAGCCTCGTTTCCTAACTGCCCATTGCAAGTTGAGGAAACGGAGGCAGAAACGGGGGAGAAGTCCCACGTCTCCTGACTCCCAATCCCCAAGGGAGACGGGGACCCAGGGGCCTCTGACGACGAGAACCAGCGCCTGCACACGTCTCCCCATCGCCCCGCCCGGGGCAAACGTGCCTCCACGTCGGGGAGCGTGAGCAACGTCCCACGCCGACACCCAAGACCCTGCCCGGGACGCGGCAGCTCGTCCGGCCTGTTCCGTGGAGCCGGGTCCTCTGGAGGAAAGGCGAGTGCGGGCCACCGTCACCTCTGCCCACGAGGCACGGCGTGTTGCTGCCGTCACCGTGTCCAGAGGCCTCAGCTCACTGGGGCTCCTCTCAATTCCAGGCCTCGACCTTAGGGCCGCCCCTGCGCACGCGGCCCTCGGCCCACGGACAGACCTGGAGGTGAAGCCGGGCACTAAGTCAGCAGCCGGTTCAACCAAGTCCCCTCTTCCCTCTGACGACCAAGATACGCACACGACCTGAAACGCACGCTGACCCCTCGGGCCAGAACCTGGCGCAGGGAAAGCGAGGCGCAGCCGCGACGTCTGCTCTTCCACCTGTGCCTTCAGCTGCCACGTCCCAAGAACCCAGGGCGTTTCTATGCCACCAACGCCACTCAATTCCCTAGAACAGTGATGGCGAACCTATGACATGCGTGTCAGAGGTGACACGCGAACTCATTTTTTTGGTTGATTTTTCTTTGTTAAATGGCATTTAAATATATAAAATAAATATCAAAAATATAAGTCTTTGTTTTACTATGGTTGCAAATATCAAAAAACTTCTATATGTGACACGGCACCAGAGTTAAGTTAGGGTTTTTCAAAATGCTGACACGCCGAGCTCAAAAGGTTCGCCATCACTGCCCTAGAACCTCGCCCCGCGCGTCTTGGTCAGGAACACAGTCCGAAGTCCCTGGGGTTCAATTCTGTAAAACAGAAGGGGAGCTCGGCGGAGCCTGGACCTCTGCCCACCTCTCAGTCTGCACAACTCCGTAAGCGTGAAATAAAAGGCACACACGCCCGCGCAGGAGGTGCTCTCAGCCAGCTCCTCGGTGCTCCCCCGTCTCCACTCCCGACACAGGCGAGGGGCCCGGAGGGATGGAGGGGACAACTCGGGACTGTGACACTAAGCCTGTGCTACACGTGGACGCAGGAATCGCTACCAGCTTTCCTGACAATGAGAGAGAACCACACACACAGGCGTCAGCAGGAGGTTGCCGCGCAGACCGGACGGACCGCGCCCCTGGGCCCGGTGCTCGAGGCCGGCCTTCGAGTCCCCTCCCTGGGGGAGGAAAGGGGGTGAGCACAGAAGGGACCTCTGCCAACACCACGGGGGAAACAAGATGGGAAACAGAACCCCGCATGGAAGAAATCCCAGGAGAGTCCAATTTGGAAAAAATTTAATTAACAAAATAAAGAGGAGGACATGGTCCAGGAGGGGCTCTGGGAGGACCCCTGCCACCCCGCCCGGGGCCCGGACCTGGTCGAGCAGAACCAGCTGGACTAGCAGGCCTGCTCCGCACTGCGCGCCCCGTGCGGACAGCTGAGAAACCACACGGCCGCTGGTAGCCAGTGGCTCCTGGCTGCCCTTGCTGGCTTGGCACATGAATGCATGCAAACAAAGCAAGGCTTCAAGGGCTTCACCAGTTAATTTTGGCAAAAAGAGAAAACAAACAAAAAGCTGAAATTCATAGCAGATTAAAAGCCACTGAAGTGAAAACCATGTATTTCTCAGTAGGGAAAGAGACTACAACTACAACCTTTTTCTCTTTTTAAGTCTCTGCCATCCTCTCCCCCAACTCAGGTCAAAGTTCGTAGCAGCATCACACAAAGTCCTGTCAGCCAGTGTTCTCTGCTGTGGGGTCAGAGTTCACAGCTCAAGTTCAGTCCGTCCGCAGAATCATGGGAGGGTGCTCACTGTCTTCCTCCAGCCGCAGGGCGCTGGCTTCCTCCTCCAGGCACGCGCCGCCCACGGCGCCCAGCTCGTCCGTGTAGGCTGCAAAGAGAGCGCGGTCACCAGAGCTGGACAGGGCCCTCGGGGCGACCCGCACAGACTGCCTTTCACTCGCTCTTGTGACTGAAGAGCTCTCTGCAGCCAGAGGCAGCCCAGGACGCGTCATTTATTTCTGCAGAGCACGGGCTTCCCAGGGGACAGGCTGTGCTCTCCTCGGGAGCGGGAGCACGGAGTGCCTCGAACTAACGTGGGTGCGCGACACCAGCGCCAGACACTCGGCGCCCTGCAAAGAGGAGCGCGAGCAAAACGAGGGCAGGCTGCTGTTCTGGGGGAAGGTAACTCGCAGCTGCACAGCCACGGCCAGGCTGCCACCTGTCTGCCGGCACGCTGACTGACAGCTCCTGCCCAGCGCGCTCCTCCCGGGGCCCGGGGCCCAGAGGGCCCTCAGCTTGAGGAGGGTCGACAGGCGCAGGGCAAGGCCCCAGCACAGACGCTGGAGAGGCAGCGAGCTGGGGCACAAGTCACGTCCACCCCCAGTGGCCTGAGGCAGGATTATTTTCTTCAGAAGAAGAAAATCGATTCCGCCTCCAGGGCCTGGACAGCCAGGTGACACCAGCTGCCCGGCCTGAGGACGTCACCCCCCTGCCCTACACAAGGGGTGGCCCCGAGGAGGAAGCAGAGCTCGGCACCGGGCGGCCCGGCCTCATCACCCTCCAGGTCTGTCACTCAGCCTTACCCAGTCTCGTGGGAGATGCAGGCGCGTGAGTGCCTTTGGCCACAGCTGTGCTGTAGGGCTGGGTTACCAAGGGGCAGTCGTGAGAGGCAGAGTCTAAGATCTCATTGGTTGTCTCCATGCTGCCGTCCAACCTGGTGGAAGTGGAGAAGAACACACACAGTGAGGGCCTGGGGCTGGAGGGCCAGACCTGCAGCGACAGAGGCGAAGGCCACTCGCCAGGACACGCACGTGCGCTCGAACACTGCGGGCACGGGTGCTCACTCGGACTTTACATGGAAAGTCTGACAGAAGGACTTATGCCCACGGGACCAGCTGTGTCATGTGCAGGCTGGTGACCATAAACAGGAGTCGCCATAAACAATATTCCCCCTTGCACCCCATCATCAGCACTGCTGTGCTTCTAGGTGACAAACAGCAGCAAAAGCAAAAGACCACAATCCACTGCTTCCCCACGAACCAACACTAACTCCTCTTTTCAAAGAGAAAACCCATCTCACGGTGAGACAGCAGGCCCTCCAACTGCGCCCTGACTGTGCGGACGGGATGAGCTGTGACATCCCTTTCTTGTGAATGTGAAATTCTCCGTCTATCTGTAGCCGGTCCCGAGGGGAGGCGGGAAGCCCCGTCCCCAGGAAGGGCAGGCACAGCGCTGACCACTTCCCGCCAAGAGCTGCAGTCCCTGGCAGACGGGGTGGGAGAGTGGACATCTGTGCCACACCAGGGACTGCCTGGGAAGGTGGAGCTCCTGAACGGCCTGGGCCAGTCTCTCCAGGAAATGCACACTCGCAGGGCCCACGGCAGCCTGGCCGAGAGAGAGCCGGGGGGGGGGGGGGGGGCCCGCGGAAAAAGCCGACTTACTTGTGCTGCTTCATGAGGGTGCACTCGCCGCCCTCCTGGGGGTCCAGGTTGTACATGTACAAGTAGCCGTCGGACGCTCCCACCAGCAGTCGGGGGATCTTCTGAATTCTGTGGGAAGGAAAAGCAGCCACATCCTAGGACCACAACCTTCGTGCAGTTACTAAACTAGCAGCCTCGCCGTTGGCAAGGCCAGGGGAGCCCTCTGCCCCCCAAAAGTGAGCACAAATGTCGCTGAGTGACACTACGTGTGTGCAGGACCAAGACCGCGCCCACTGTGCTACTTGCGGCCCCAGCATCGAAGCCGAGGGCGTTCTGACCGGGAAAGAGCGCCGGCGCCCCAGGGAGAGCAGGTGGCGGCATCGGTCTCCCGGCTCCCCGACTACTAAGGGCAGGCGGTTTCGTGAGACTTCTTCAACTAGGCCAGGCGGGTGGGAAGGATGAACATAACGTCTATAACATCCACAGTCACAGCGAGGCCATGGCGGAGCGCTCCCAGCCACGCCAGCGAGGTTCCCAGAGGGCTCGATGCTGGCGCTCCCAGCCCTGACTTATCGCCACAAGTGCCCAGACACAGAGGGAGCCTCTGCCGGGAGGAGCTGCAGGAGCCCTCGCCTCTGACAATCACGGTGCCCTTTGCGGGTCCCCGCGGCACGCAAACCTCGGCTCCATGACAGGCCGAAGTCTGCGATTGTTCTCAGGCTGGAAGGATCGTAAGGGGACCACCCAGGTGCCGCAGGCAAAGGGGAGGGAGGCGCGCCTGTACTCACGTGGTCAGGGAGCAGATGTTCTTGTGGCCGCAGAAGGGCAGGCGGACCGTGGCGAAGGCCCTGCCCTGGTTGAACATCTCTGTGACCTGGGAGGGCAGGTAGCTGGTGGAGTTCAGGAGCATCTTCCCGAAGTAGCCGGTCCAGGTGGAGGGCTCCTCCTGCGGCCTGGAGGGCGTCAGCAGAAACGTGACTCTCCCGGAGATGACCACGTCCCACCCACAGAGACAAGGACCAGCCCCGAAACCTCAAGAGAAATCCCCCTCCTTCAAGGAAACGGGGCAGAAACCACGGCCTCTGAGCAGCCTGCCCTCCCACGTGGCTGCGCAGATTACGGAAACGATTTGCAGCAAACAGGAGACGTGCAGGCCCCACGCACAGCACCCCTGGGTCTAACAGAAAGTCTCGGAAACCTCTGAGCACCACTTTCAAGTGGCTCCTTCCCCACAGCCCGTTTGCCGCTGCTCACCTTGTGCGCACCTGCAGGTTACTGAAGTGCTCCCCTGGGGAGGAGCACACCTGTGAGTTACTGAAGTGCTCCCTGGGGAGGAGCGCATCTGTGAGTTACTGAAGTGCTCCCTGGGGAGGAGCGCATCTGTGAGTCACTGAAGTGCTCCCTGGGGAGGAGCACATCTGTGAGTTACTGAAGTGCTCCCTGGGGAGGAGCGCATCTGTGAGTCACTGAAGTGCTCCCTGGGGAGGAGCACATCTGTGAGTTACTGAAGTGCTCCCTGGGGAGGAGCACACCTGTGAGTCACTGAAGTGCTCCCTGGGGAGGAGCACATCTGTGAGTTACTGAAGTGCTCCCTGGGGAGGAGCGCATCTGTGAGTTACTGAAGTGCTCCCTGGGGAGGAGCGCACCTGTGAGTTACTGAAGTGCTCCCTGGGGAGGAGCACATCTGTGAGTTACTGAAGTGCTCCCTGGGGAGGAGCACACCTGTGAGTTACTGAAGTGCTCCCTGGGGAGGAGCGCGCCCTGAACAAGCCTGGCCCAGGGGAGGCTCACGTTAGGAACAAGCAGCAGCGCTCTGTTCGCCGCACATGCCCATTGCAGTGACACACGACTCACGTCACCTGCTTTAGAAACGCACCCACTGCGGGCAGCCTGGTGACGGCGCTCCCGGCCCTGGGCAGTGCGCCCAGACGTGCTTCTGTGCGCAGGGGCGTGCCGAGGCGGACGTCTGCACTGACCACAGCTGCCCCCGCGCCCTGCCGCCAGCCTCACGCACAGCACCTCCCGCACTAGACCACCTCACGGGGACAGATCCCTCCCTGCCGTGTGCGGACGCGGGGACACTGATCCAGAGCCCGTGCAGGGTCCGCCCCGGCAGGAGGCAGGAGGCAGGAGGCAGGAGGCAGCACGAGTCTGGGCTCCCGGGCTCACCCGTCAGTGTGAGCTGGACAAAGTGCTCTGTTGGTTTTCAAACAATCGAATGTTTGCAACTCACTTTTCCTTCACAGTCTCGAGTTTGAAGATGTGCACTGTCTCTGTGTTGCTGGAGGCGGAGAGGAACATGCCGTCCATGCTGAAGGCCAGCGAGCAGATGCTCACACACCTGCGGGCGGGGTAGGGTTAGCTGTCACCCAGGCCACCGGCCACCGGCAACCTCCCGAGGGGCCTGTAACCATCGCCGCAGGGGAGGACAGTTCCCTGACAGCCGCGTGGCTGCTGGAGCGCTCTCCTTCCTCCAGTCACCTTCTCAAACATTTTGAGAGAAAGATGTTGGGAACGTGGCAGCAATTCTGTCCTATGTTCTTAAACAGCCAATTTTCTTTCATTTAAATTATAGCAATTCTTAACATGCAGAGGGTAAACTGGCCCCTCTGGTGATGTTTAATAGAGTAAAACTTTCAACATTCAACACACTAACTCCCTACAGTACATCGAGTCCTGAGGCAGAGGACCCAGGGGTGACCGGGACAGCCCCTCCTCCGAGGCAGGGAGGTGTGCTAGGCTCGGCCCTGCAAGCTCTGTAGTGGACGCCAGCAGGAGGGAGCTCCGCGCTGGGAGTCGCGGTTGCTTGTTTTAAAGGCAGAGCCGCAGCCACTGGCTGGCGGGGGAGGGAGGGGAAGGGCCGGCTCCAGTTCTCAGGGCAGAGAGTAAGGACGGAGCCTGTGAACCAGGTCAGAGTCCGCAGCCGCCCGCAGAGCAGGTGGAGTGCACACACCGCCCGGCTCTGCCAGTCCTTCCGCTCCCCTATCTGGCCCCCGCTCTGCGTCCAGCTGGCCTTAAATCACGTCCCTTTACCCCCAGACCGTCCAGTCGGGCTGAACACGCCTGTCGTTCACCTTGTGCCCAGTGGCCACGTTTCCACTTGTTGGTCACAGAGAACACAAAACTGAACCCAAAGAGAACTAAGAGTCAATGTTGGAGGCTTATATACTTTACCTCTTAACTCCTCTCCGGAACTCAAAGAGTTTCTGTCCCTCTGGAATGGAAAACACCCTAATCACGGTCCCCTGCGAAAGAGAAAGAGGCTTTTAGCTGAGAAAAGACGGACTTTCTTCATTTCTTTGTCAGACTATAAATGAAACACAGAACAGTTCTCCATGACAGCGCATTGTGGACCCCCTCCTGGGCAGCCCCCCCACAGCTGCCCGAGCCCCTCCTGGGCAGCCCCCCCACAGCTGCCCTCTGCACAACCACCTCCTGCTTCCTGCCACAAGCTCACCAGATCGCCCAGCCCCGTTCACCACTTCACTCAGCACTTACTCTAATCATTACTAGCCTTGAAGTCAAACATGGAATATACCAGTTCTACTTTTTCCTACGTCACTGGAAGCTTAAACCATTAAAACTAAACGCTTGAGGCGTGTACCCCGCATTGGGAAGCACCTCCTAACGTGATGGCCGCGAGTCTGACATGCTGGTCAGGCCGTCAGACCCCACTGCGGCCCTTCTGGCCACTTGGAGCTACTGACCAAGGGAACTGACGGCCTAAAGGGATCATCGGCAAGACCTGCATCAAGGGAACCCCTGCTGAGATGAAAGGAAACAGCCTGGCGGTGAGCCACAGCCCCTCCTCTGGGACACGAGACACTGAGAGGGTGTCCGTTCCCTGCGACCCCCTCCCCCTCCTGAAGCAGTCACACGCTCTGCGGGCAGACAAGACTGAGCACCGGGGACCGAGAGACCTGCCTCGGAAGTGACCCCGAGGTGGTGAGGAACTCAGCGAGCCTGCGCCGCAGGAGCCAGACGACAGGCCCGGCGCTGCCCAGCCATTAGGGAGCAGGTGCAGGGAGTGACGCCCTGTAAGACGGTGAGTCTCTGGGGTGGGAGGACCCCACCAAGGCTGCAGATCTCGGGAAGCAGGGGCGTCGGCACGCATGCAAACACCGCGCAGAGGCTGTGTCTCTGCAACCTAAGCGTTCAGGGTTCCTTACAGACGTGTGTTTCTATTTCATGCCACACCGGTGTGCAACCCTGACCAACGACAAGCTGCTGGTCACAGCTGGACGGCACTTCCGAGGCAGGATTAAGCCCGCACCCAGGGCGGCCCCAGCACCCAGGACCCAGCAGGGACGAGAAGGCGTTGGTGGTCTGATCCCTCAATCCAGAAGGTTCTGTGTAAAAGCAAGTCAAGAGCCTCTCTTTCTAGCCCAGGAGAAATTGTTCTGTTTTTACTGGCTCCCGAAGCCCTCGTCAGAACCATAACAGAGAGCTGGGTTAATCAAGGGTAACGGGGCCTCATGGCCATGCCGCTCCCGAGGGAGAAGAAAGGGACCGGTGACACGGCGAGTCCTGCAGCGTCCAGAGCACAGGCGGGCGTGGAGTCAAATCCTGGCTTCCGCCAGCGGCCGGGCCTGGGAAAGCACCTGCCCTCTGAGCTCCACACGAAGGGAAACAAGCCCCTGGGTGAGGGTCAAACGAGGTAACGACACGAAGGGTCTTGGAGACTCAGGACAGTGACCCAGGAACAGCGGCATCGGCATCGTCGCTGCAGAAACGGGGCCCGAGAGCCAAGAACACAGAGCCCGGGGGAGCGGAGCGGGAGCGGCTGCCTGGGGGGTGCTCGTTGGCTGGTTCAGGGGAGCCAGTGACTTCGAGGGGAGGGGACTGGAGGGGACACCCAGGCTGAACCCAGGCACAGGCGGCCGAGGGGCAGGTCCCAGTGCTCAGAGGAGGGAGCAGCCAGGAGCACAAACGAGGCCCTGAGAGAAGAGAGGGGAGAAGAGGAGGAGAACAGCAAAGGAAACCACGGACGGAGCCCTTCAGTGAGGAGAGGACGGGACCCTCCAGCGCCACGGAGGCTGAGAAGGGCCACACAGTCGGGCCTGCGAGGCCTCTTCTCCGCGTGCAGAAGGGCCAGGTCCTTTAACCCGGAAATTCTCCTCACCGACTCTCTTACTAAGCAGAGCTGCACACAAACGACTTCCAGGCAGGATTAAATACACTCCTATCTACAGACTAAGCTTCAAGTAAGTGAACATGGTGCAGCTCTTAAAGGCGCTGTAACTCAGAGAAGCGCAGTAGGACGCAGAGAGGGAAAAGGAGGCTGAATGAGACACACACTGTGACCACCACTTTGTTAGCGAAAAAGAGTGAAAGGCGAACACGGAATGCGCTCAGACCCCCTCAGACTGTCTCCACTTTCACTCTCGCCCCCCCAAGTCCTCAGCACCAGCCTGTGTCCTGGGCCCTGTCGGGGTGCAGTGGTGAGTGCGTGCCATGCAGGGCACTCGGTCTCCCGTCCCAAACGTGCCCAGCTCCCCTGTGGGAGAGCCGCTCCCAGCAGCACACCCAGAGCCCAGTGGGCCCTGCCAGGTGGGTGTCGCCGGTGCTCCTCTGAGGGCTCGTGTGGTCACTGGGCTGGGTGCCAGGACTGGTTTCCCACGGGCCCGGCAGCCTTACCTTCTCGGAAGCAGTGGCGAGCTTGGTTCCACTGGCGTCGAAGGCCAGCGCGGCCAAAGGACTGTCGTGAGCGGGAATCATGTTGGCAGCTCGCTGGTGGGAGGGAGAACCAAACGTGACTACTAACCCACCTGGTTTCCGGGGGTGGGGGCCCAGGAAGTGCCCGGGGTGACAGGTTCCTCCAGCGCGCCCCGGGGCACTGACGGGGACGAGCACAGCTCTGCTGGGGGCCAGCGGCGGGCACTGCATCGCCGAGCCAAGGAAGCCAGGGCGCCAGGGCCCACAGCACTCATTCAGGGAACCTCACCAGGTTAATGGTGTCGAAGACCTGCACCTCTCCGATGGTGGCGCTGCCGGGGTAGGCCAGGTAGCAGTTGTCATTGTTGATGGACAGCGCGCACAGGCCTGAGGACACAGGGAGCAGGCAGTCAGGCCTGAGGGCTCCTTTGTGGTCGTGAGACATACAGCGCATTCACTTAACCCAGGGCCGGGAGGGAGGGCTCTGAGCAGCCACAGCGCACTGCTGGGTTAGGGCCCCCCCCGGCCCCCACCCGTGACAGCAGGGCTGTCAGCAGATTGAAGGCCTCTGGTGGGAAGTGATTAGTGACCTCTAAATTGGAAGCTGACCAAACCATTGACCGATGTGGTCACAAGACCAGTGCCAGGAGGAAGGGAGCCTGGCTTAAGGTCGATCCACTTCAATCTGCCTCCAGCTGTGGGCTCTGCAGAGGAGAGAGCCCCCCCCCCCGCCCCGCCCTGTCTTTAACAGAACACCCCGAGCAGCCCTGCCCTCCTCGGGGCGCTCACCCGCCGGGTTCGGGGGCGTCTCCCGGATGGTGTGCAGCACCTTCATGTCCCGAATGTTGTGGATGTACAGAGACTCCTCCAGGCACACGATGAGCCTCTAGGGGAGAGACAGAGGGAGGCGAGCGTGGAGAGAGCCGCCACGCTGCACGCATGCGCCCAGCCGCTCAGTGGGCTCTTGGATCAAGACGCTTGGCGTTCCTCCCATAGCACCCCTGGGCCTGCACACTCCAGAGGGCGCTGCATTACCCGCGGCTCTGGGCGTGCAGAGCCCCTGTGCCTGCCTCGTCTCTGCTGCCGCTGTACTAGGACACCTCACTATGCATTGACTCCATGTCACAGAAACTGGGCGATACGGTAAGGAAAGTGATTTGTGTTATGGTTTGTTGTGTTTGTCTCTCATCCCTCACCCCTCTGCCCCTCGTGAAAACCACATCGAATGCCTTGGATGGATTTGGTAATTAAACACCTGCTGTTGAACAAGGCGCGGCAAGATGAAGGTGGAAGCCGAGGGATTTCCTGAAAGTATAAAACTCCCCCTGCACCCAGGTTGTTCTGCAGGTGTCCATGTTCTTGCTGCGCTTCAAGACGGAAGTCCCTGGAGGGGGCATGGAGGGAAGACAACTTGGCCCGCACGCACTCAGCATCTGCTGCCATGGGACACGTGTGTTTTAAGCTTTAAAAAGGCGGTAGGGGAGGCCGGGGGAAGGTCAATGGGGGAAAAAAGGGGACATATGTACTACTATTTATAATACTTTAAACAATAAAATTAAAATAAAAAGGTTCAACATGTTATGCCTTATCCTCTCCTATTTTAACCAACTTTTTCAGTCAATAGACCAATCCCCAGTTTCAGCCAGGTCAGTGGTCACGTGGCAGTAGCCGCCAGCAGCGCCCCGCATGGTCCACGCCCCTCAGCCCAGGGCACTCCGCTGTGAACAGGAGCCGGTGCTGCATTTGTGAGCACAGGCCACGGGAGCCCGGGAAAGGGACTCAAGTGCCAGCCACCAGGCCCACAGGCTGGGCCAGACTCTCTTGTTTTGGGGAAGATATAAAAAGCAATAAATTATATCACTTTTGGGGGTTAATCTTTACCTGAGGATGTTTTTCCCATTGCTTTTTCAGAGAATGGGAAGGAGGGAGTGAGGGGGAGAGAGAAAGAGAAACATCGATGTGAGAGAGACATCTCAGTGAGTTGGCTACAACCCAGGTATGTGCCCTTGACCTGGAATCACACCCACCTCCCTCTGGTGCATGGGCCAACGCTCTAACCACTGAACAGCTGGCCCAGGCAGAAGCGTACATCATCTTAAATCAAAGGTTAAATTAACAGTTTAAAAAAGGAGAAAGAAGATGCTAACAGGTTTTTTGAAGTAACACGTGTGAAAGTAAAAGAAGCGAAATAAACTATGACTCAACTCCAAGGATGGCTGCACGGACATCCGGTCAGTCCTCACTGAACACGGCCCACAGCCCCTGGCGCCCGCACGAGGTGGGAGAAAGCCAGCGCGCCCAGGCTGACCGACAGGGACAGCGCTGAGCTCCCACAGAACCTCATCGAGGTGCAAGGAGAGGGCGCGGCGTGGGGGCCTCTGCACAGACACGGTGCCCGGCAGGATGAGGGGACCGGCGGCAGAGAGCAAGGGCGTTCATCGGGGAGGGACCCGAGCACACAGCGCGCCGTGTGGAGGCGGGTGGTGGGGAGGTGAGCGGGGCTCGGACCGGAAACGCTGGCTCAGGACCGCGTTTGTCCTGGAGGCCTCTGGGGGCAGTGGCGGCCGCAGCCACACTGCACACTGAGACACGGGCAGAGCGAGGTCTGACGCCCAGAGGCTGGTGCTCACCTGCCTGTTCAGCTTCACAGCCAGGATGGTGTTGGAGTAGCTGTAGTTGCAGATCTCCGTTCCCTTCTTAAAGTGGCAAACTTTCAGCTTCCGAGGAGCTTTGAGGCTGACGATGGCCACCAAGCTGCTCGAGAACAATCTTTCCACGATGCACACGTCTTCAGTGTCAGCTGTAAGCAGGAAACATACACGTACCCACATCAGCAGGCGCAGGCTGCTCGCACACACGAACACGTGTCCAAGTGCACATTACGTCAGCAGAGCACTTGGGGGCTACACGGTGGGCGCCTGGTGACAGGGCCGGGCTGTGGGGACGATCCCAGAGCAGCACCGGGGTCAAATTCACCGCTTAGGAGCCACGTACACACCACTCTCAGGGTCCCCCTGCCAGGAAGGCCCTGCATTCTGCATGAAGGGCCCCCCTCTGCTCAGACGCTGCCCTGCAGGAGCCTCTCCCGTCAAAGGGAGGCTTCCCAGCTCCTCTCCACATCACCCTGGTCCCTTCCTCCCTGGCGGTCACTGTCATCACGTGCATCTGCCCATCGGCTGCTCCCTGCACACGGTCTGGACTGTACGCACCACACGGACAGAGGTTGCACCTCCTGCTCACAACTGTCCCCCAGCCTCTGTAACGGCACCGACAGACGCCAGGCCCCCACCGAGGCTCTGAACAACTCACTTTGAGTCCTGCTTTCCGATGTGAAAAGGGAATGAGCGCCACTCTCAGAACTGCAGGAGGGGGTGGAAGATGCCGGCCCAAGTCAAGCTCCACCCCCATCCCCCTGCTCCCGCAAGAGAGGGGACACCCCACTCAGACGACCGGATGAAACACGTGCAGACAGGATCCTGCCTGGAAGTGGCAGGCACAGTGGACCCGCCACAGACATCCCTTCACCCAGCCCCCTGACTGCCCTCACCCCAATCTCTCCCTCCCGCTGTGGGAAGTTCAGATCTAGATGCAAAGAGAATTCTCTAATGTAAGAAAATGGCAGAGTGAGTCTCAACTGCCTCCACCTGCAGCCTGTCTCCTGAGCCAGGGGAGGGCTGCAGTGCCAGGTGTTTTGAGCATGTGCCCATCCATTCATTCCACAATGCTCCTCAAATTAATTTTCTGATCAATGCAATCCCGAGCACAACCCCAGCAGACATTTTTGTTGACAATAACTGATTTCAAAACCAGAAAGGCAAAGCATCTAGAACAGCGGTTCTCAACCTGTGGGTTGCGACCCCTTTGGGGGTCGAACGACCCTTTCACAGGGGTCGCCTAAGACCATCGGAAAACACATATATAATTACATATTGTTTTTGTGACTAATCACTATGTTTTAATTATGTTCAATTTGTAACAATGAAAATACATCCTGCATATCAGATATTTACATTACAATTCATAACAGTAGCAAAATTACAGTTATGAAGTAGCAATGAAAATAATTTTATGGTTGGGGGTCACCACAACATGAGGAACTGTATTAAAGGGTCGCGGCATTAGGAAGGTTGAGAACCACTGATCTAGAATATCCAAGGCTATCTTGAAAAAGAACTAGATTGAAGGGCTTATGCCCTATGACTTCAACACTTAGTATATAAAGAAAGCTACAGCCAACCAGACAGCACGTTATGACACAGACACTGACAAATAATCAATGGAGAAGAGCAAACAGCAGAACTAGACCCGCACTTAGAGGATTCTTTTAAGCACCAAAGCAATCCATGAAGGAAGACAAATCTGTTCAACAAATGGCTGAACAGGAAAAATTAGCCTTTACTCCTACCTCACACCACACAGCAAAATTAAACTGAGGTGATCATGAAACTGATAGAAAAGCTGAAGCTACCAAGTCAATGTTCAAGCACGGAGCCATGCTGGCCAGGCAGCACAGCTACTTTTAACTGCAAAGAGTCAGAAACCAAGAGCTTTCACAGAGAAAAAGATCTCAACGCATTGGTACGCAAAGGTTTCTCAGGAAGGACACAGCAAGCAAAAATCATAAATAAAAAAATCAGACTTCATCAAAAGTCAACATGTGTGCTCAACAGATAAGACAAGCCACAGAACAGGGAAAAAATTTTCACAAGACATTATCTGACAAAGGGTTGGTACCCAGAACATCTAAAGAACTCTGGCAACTCAATAATAAAAGACAAACAACCAAATTTAAAAAGGAACAAAAGATCTGAACAGACATTTCACAAAAGCTATACAAATGGCTAACAAGGACACGAAAGTGCCCGACACCATCAGGGAAATTCAAGTCAAAACCACATGAGACTCGTCATTCATACATCAGAAAGGCCAACGTGGGAAAGACTGACGCCACCTGCTGGCGAGGGCACAGCAACCAGACTCGCACACAGCACCACAGGGAGGAGAAACAGGACACACACTTAGGAAACTGGTCGTTTCTTATAAAAGGAATCCCATGTTCTCTTCCTAGGTATTCACCTAAGATAAAGAAAACACATGTCCACAAAGGGAGCTGCACAAGAATGCTCCCGGCAGCTTTATTCTTAACAGCTAAGAACTGGAAAAGCCCAGGGGCCCATGAGTCAGAGACTCAACAAACTGGCATACGAGGCCGACCCTTGAACAGGCAGGGGTAACCCCTCGGAGTAGGAAATCCAAGTGTTTACTTTTGAATCCAAAAACGTAACTACCTTCGGTGCCCACAGGAGAGTGGTTCCAGGACCCTGTGGACACCAATACCCACGGCGCTCAGCCCCGATGTAAGATGGTGGAGCAATCATGCAGTCGGCCCGCCGCATCCGCAGATGGGAAACAGCAAGGTATCATCCAACACGACCTGCGTGGGCCTGCGCAGTGCACACCGCGTTGTTCAAGGGCCAAGGGAAACACGCAACGATACGGATAAATCTCAGAAGCATTCGGCTGAAAGACCCATCCAAGAGCATCCAGAACAGGCAGGCGTAGCCCGCGCTAGAGAAAACCCGGAGCACTGGCCTCAGGGATGGCGGGAGTGGGGCTGCCCGGGCACGTCTGAGGGCACTTTCTGGAGTGACAGTGAACCCCGATGGGGCTCAGGGGACAGCTGCATCTGTCCAAATGCAGCAGGCTTACTCCAGGTTGCACGCTCCTGTGTGTAAATACCACCCCAAAGAAAAAGACGCAGCACTGACCCCCGTTAGCAGTGCTCATGCTGAAGTACTTAGGGAGCATCTACTGAGATAAGATCTGATGGGCAGGGTGTTTTCACCTTTCCCACCCAATGGTAAGTTTGAAATTGTAATGAAAAAAAAAAAAAAAAGCAGGTGAGAACTCTTAGAATTTTAAAAACAGAGGGTGCTTGTATGGAGACAGCAAAGCTATTTTTTTTCTATATTTTTACTGATTTGAGGGAGGGAGGAAGGGAGGGAGGGAGGGAGAGAGAGAGAGAGAGAAGCATCAATGATGAGAGAATCACTGATCAGCTGCCTCGTGCTTGCCCCACACTGGGGATCAAGCCTGCAACCTGGGCATGTGCCCTGGCTGGGAATTGAACTGTGACCTCCTGGTTCATAGGTCAATGTTCAACCACTGAGCCACGCTGGCCAGGCAGCAAAGCTACTTTTAACTGCAAATAGTTGTTAAAGAGAACAGTATACTGAACCCCTCCATAGGCCCATCACCTGATTTAATAAACATGCACTTTCTGCCTATTTTTTCTTTTCTGAAGTTTCAAAGGTCATCATCCTGACCTTTCACCCGGAAGTAAGTCTGGTAAGCCCCTCTAGATAAATAAGGATGTAGGAAAAATATGTTCTCATCTGTGACTAAAAAGGGAAGACATCTTACATCGCAGCGACTTCCAGGTGGATGAAGAACTGCATGGAGAAGACGACGCAGGAGCCCATCTCGCATCGCCCCGGAGCAGGACAAGCCTTTCAGAGAGAAGCCTTACGAGAAGACAAATGCATTCAAACAGCAGAAACTCCAGACCTCAGAACGGCAACAAGACCATAAACAAGGTCAAAAGCAAACACCAATCCAGAAGAAATATTGGCAACCCACGGCAAATGGTTAAGTTGTTTTAAATCAGTAAGAGACAAATAATCCCATAGAAAAGCAGGCAAAGGAAAGAAACAAGCAGTTAAAGGCAAGGAGCAGCCCAGCGGGTGTGGCTCAGTGGCTGAGCGTCTGCCCAGGAACCAGGAGGTCACAGTTCGATTCACAGTTAAGGCACATGCTCGATTTCGGGTTCAATCCCAGTAGAGGGTGTGCAGCCCATCTATGTTTCTCTCATTGATATTTCTCTCTCTCTATCCCTTTCCCTTCCTCTCTCTAAAATCAATAAAAACATTTTTAAAAAAGGCAACAAGCATATTTCTTATCTTAGACTCATCTCCCAAGTATGAAAATGTTGGATAATGCCTGTGTGGCAGGAAGTGAGGAGAAAGGTGCTTGCACCATTGATAAAAACATGGTCCTGCCCCTTTTTAAGGACAACTTTGCAGTATCTACAAACTATCACATGTTTATCTGTTGATTCTTCTAACAGCTGTTCTCACAAGTGGGCAAAACAAAGATGCTCGCCCAGCAATTTCACGCCCCCGGCATCTATCTGCTTAGGAGAAGGAAGCCCTGGCTGTGTGGCTGTTGGCTGAGCGTCGCCCCGTGTACCAGGCCACCAGCTCAATGCCCGGTCAGGGCAATGCCCAGGTTGCGGCAGGCAATCAATATTTCTTTCTCCCCTCTCCCTTCCTCTCTTTAAAATCAACAAAAACATTATATATTTTTAAATAGAGAGAAATGAAAACACACACCCACCCAACAACTTGAACACAAACGTTCACAGCAGCATCCTTTAAAAGTCACAACCCAAATGGCCATCAACAAAACATGGTCTAGCCACACCGTGTAATGGGACCGAGCAATGAAAAGACATCAGGACTGACACATGCTCCAACATGGGTGAACCCTGCAAACTTCCTACGTGAAAGGAGCCAGTCGGGTAGGACTCCCTTTATCTGAAACGCCCAGAGCCGCACATCCCTAGAGGCAGAAGGCAGATGAGCGCTTGCCCAGGGGCGAGGTGGGCGGAGGGAGATGGGAGCGACCGCTGACCCACTCAGGGTTTCACTTGGGGAAGATAAAAATGTTTTAAAATTAGATTACGGTAGGCAGTGCAACTTAGTAAATACACTAAAACCCATCGAATTGTACACTTAAAACAGGTGATTCTGATAGCATATAAATGACATTTCTATCTCTCCATCCCTCTCCTTTCCTCTCTAAAATCAACAAAAACGTATTTTTAAAAAAGGCAACAAACATATCTTACCTTAGACTCATGTGTTAAAAAAAACCACACAGGCAGACTACTGCAGAAATTTTGAATTTTGGCCAATATATTAAGATCTGATGTAAGCACAGGAAGGCAGGGCTGGTGAGAGGATGGGCGACAGGGACAGAGGGCTCGAGAAGGGAGGCGTCAGGGCGGGACCTCACCAGCGTCTTCTCAGAGACCAGAGCCCCTGAGTCCTGGAACACTCGCTCAGGAGGGCTCTTACACGGCCAAACCAAACACCAAACACTGGGCTTTCCTGGGGAAACACCCATGAGTGTCATCAAACTCCAAAGGAGCCAGGAGCCAGACAAAGGCCAAGGCCACCAACACCTGGAGCCAACCCATTCCTGTCACTTAGGAAGAAACAGCACAAAAGGGTCCCCTGCGAGTCCCCAGCCCTAGGGGCGGTGCCGGGGAGCGCTACGGCTCACTGCTTTTCTACGGTGCCATTTCAAGAAGCTCTTTCCCATGTTCATTACACCCAACTCGCAGGGAATTTGTTTTCAATCCTCACCAAAGGAGTGAGGATATTTTTTCCATTGATTTTTTTTAATAGAGAGTAGAAGGGAAAGGAGTGGGAGGGACAAAAAGAGGGTGGGAGAGAAAGAGGAAAAGAAAGAGACATTGATCCGTTGCCTCCCACATATGCCCTGACCAGGTCAGGGGAACAAACCCACACCCAGGTACATGCCCTTGACCGAAAATCAAACCCGAGACCCTCTGGTATGCAGGGGCATGCTCTAACCACTGAGCTTGCCAGCCAGGGCCCAGGGAATTTTTAAATTCTCACCCGAAGATATGTTTTTCATTGATTCTAGAAAGAGAGGAAGGAAGAAAAAGAGAAACATCGATTGGTTGCCTCACACACACCCTGACCAGGGATCAAACCCACAACCCTTCAGTGCAAAGAATGAGGCTCTAACCACTGAGTTACACTGGCCAGGACCCAGGGAACTTTCTTTTTTTAACATATTTTTATTGATTCCAGAGAGGAAGGGATAGGGAGAGAGAAACATCCACGATGAGAGAGAATCACTGATTGGCTACCTCCTACAGCCCCACACTGGGGATCGAGCCTGAGGATCAAGCTCCGAGCATGTGCCCTGACTGGGAATTAAACCGTGACCTTCTGGTTCACAGGTTGATGTTCAACCACTGAGCCACGCCATCTGGGCTCCAAGGAACATTTAACACACGAACACACACAGAACCCATGTACCCAGCAGTCACTTCCTACGAAGGGGAAGGACACACGGCTGAGCCCTCCCATGAAATGATGGTGCCCGATGAGCCAGGCTGATGACTGAAGGTACTGCAATCAAATGAAAAGCAAGAGAAGCAAGGCTGCACATTTGTAATCAATGAAGAAGGCCCGTTACCAAGACACCAGTGCCAGGAGCACTCAGGCTGTCGGATCCTGGGGCGCCAGAGACCCCAAGCTTCCGTTACAACAGATTTAAGCAGAGAGGCTGCTGGAGTTCCTCCCTGCACGACCCATTACTCTAAGTCTCACTGACACTGTTCCAGCCAGTGCACGGCTGTCACTTCAGAGCGACGTCAGCAAGCACCTCTCTCAGATCCTTCCTTACGAGGACGAGGGCCTGTGAAGGCAGCGATGGCTCACTGCGTGATCAAAGGCACATGTATCTCCGGAGGCATTTCTTTCTTTTTTTAAAAAAATATATTTCTACTGATTTCAGAGAGGAAGGGAGAGGGAGAGAGAGAGAAACATCAGTGATGAGAGAGAATCACTGATCGGTTGCCTCATACACACCCCACACTGGGGATCAAGACTGCAACCCGGGCATGTGATTCCCTGACTGGGAATCGACCCCATGACCTGGTTCATAGGTCGACACTCAACCACTGAGCCACGCCGGCCGGGCAGAGGCGGTCGATCAGGGAAGCAGGCTCTGCTGTGGTGGCGGAGGCAAGGGCAGCCTGCTCATGTTCACCCCAGAACCGATGCCTCGGGAGGGATGGTTCCCCAGCTCAGAACCTTACAAAATGCAAGGACATTGTGCCTAACGCCCATGAGGGGATTTCATTGCAGTATCTCATGGGAGGGATACCACAGATTTGCATATTATTTGCCTTCAAACTAACAAAGGACATACAGAGGAATAGAAACGGGCACCCACAGCCAAGCACAGCAAAGCATACATGGGAGTCCTCCCGACTTTAAGTTTGAAATTACAACAATAGACATAGTATAAAACAACAGAAAAGTCTCCCCCTGCTGCTGGGCAAAGGGCAAAGGTTCCCTTGCTTAATTAAACAGAAGAACCAGCAGCTGTCAGTCTCGCTTCCCCAAGCCCAGCCCTGGCTCGCTCTTCTGTAACAGCAACAGTGGCTGAGAGCAGACCTGAGTGCATGTGACGGTGAAGAGGTAGGAGGGTGAGCCAGCCCTGAGCCAAGGCTAAGTTTTGAGGCATCAGTACTATTCTTTGCTCTGAGTCTGTGTAGAAAAATGCCAGAAAACAATCTGGACTCAGCAGCTGATCTGTTTTCTAAGAGACACCCTTTTTCCTAACTCAATGTAAGTACGTGACAGAGGAAAGGCGGATGCCGCTCTAGGAGGAAAGAACTTAACAGCTGCGTTAACCCTCGAGTATGAACCCTCGAGCCCTGGCTGGTGGGCTCAGTTGGTTGAGCTTCATCCCACGCACTGGAAGGTCACTGGTTCGATTCCCAGCCAGGGCACACATCTGGGTTTTGGGTTTGATTCTCAAGTGGGGTGCGTACGGGAGACAACTGATCGATGTTTCTCTCTCCTTCTTCCTTCCTCTTTCTCTAAAATCAATAAAAAAACATGTCAAAAAATAAAGTATTTACCCCCAAAAAGTTCTACATCCATTTCACCACCTATTTTTTAAAGGCCAAAGATCACTAAGAACAAAGAAATCACCATGTCGGTCAGCAATCACCTACTCTCTTAACAATGCTATCAAGACAACACATTTTGTTCCACCAAAAAGCACTGAGAAATGAGGTGCCAAAAACCAGTGAATAAGCTTCAAGAGGACAAATCAGTCATTAAACTGACTCAGTTGAGGAGAGTGAAGATCAGGTATTCTTACTAGCACTGGGTCTCCAAACGGGGAAATTCTGTGATCTCAAAGCAGATGACTAGTCACTACAGCAACCATTTAGCAGCACAACCCAGGCCACGGCTTGGATTAGTTTTAGTAAATGTTTAGTAAATGTTCAGTCATGTAAGAGCCCAAGGGAATCCTTTGTCCTTCTCTGAAGGAATCCCCTACTGGGAGCGATCCTGCGTGGGTCCCGTGGAGGCAGCCAGTGGGGTTCTCGGAAACACGGACACCCACTTGAGATGAGCCAGCGCACCAGCTCGCAGCTGCCCGGTCCCCGGAGCACAGCTCCCGCTTCGCAGCGGAGCGGGCCTTCTCAGAGGAGTCGGTGAGCGCCAGGGGCAGGCCGAGGACAGAACAAATGAGCTGCGCTGCCAGCGGAACCAGAGTCAGGGAGCTGACTGACCGCAAGGCTGCGGCCGGCTTCCTGGGGGCCAGACTCAGCATCCCCCTGGGGTCTTCCCCTGAGGCTAATGGGGGGCCAGGTGGTATTTGTGTGTTTGCTGGTCTCTGTGCCCCCCGCCTGCCATGCACAGAAACGTGCACTTGGTTTTGCCTTCCTCTGTTTAAATGTACGTGTCATGAGAGCAGGAACTAGTCACTACCACGATGTCCACGAACAAAACAGGGCCGGCAGACAGCAGGTCATCAATGAATGTTTGCGGAACGGAGGGAACCAAGAACAGATACGAGGCGTCCAGCCACAGGAGAGGTGTCATGCGTGTGGGAGGGCGGACCCCGGTGATCAGCGGGTCCTGCGCACACCCAGGAAACTGAAGACCCGAGGCCCCGAGGTGAAGTAACGTCTCTCAAGTCACACAGTGACGAGCGAGAAGTCAAGCTCATGCCCCTTCTGCATTTCCAGATTGCCTCCCACACGCCGGCTACGCAAATCCCAGAAACCGGCAGCTGCGGAAAACAAATCATTCCTACGGGGGCCGTACAACCTTCCACCCCGGAAGCCCGGCATGACAGAAACCTGAGCGGAGTGAGTGGCGTGAGAAACGGGGGATCACAGAATAATGCACACAGTATGATGCCATGTATTAGAAAAAAATCAACCCGTCAAACAGATATGTACATTTATAAGTATGCAAATAAACAGAAAAGATCTGGGAGGACACACGCAACTGTTCCCTCGCAGTGGACTAAGGGGAAGGGAGAGAACTGGTCAGGGCACCTGGACCTGAATCAGTGTCTGATGTAAGAATGCATATCAATTCCAGTTAAACGTGTCCATATTGTTTAAGAGGGGAAATAAAGCAAACACTTACTGCATTCATAGATCTGTTCCAGCTTATCCACAGAAGAAAGGGAGAAAAATTTATAACCGGACTTACTACCAACAGCTAGGGACCTGCAAAAAAGCCAAATGCAGAAATAAGAGCTGATACGTGTACACAGTGACAATGCACAAACGCTCCATGTTACAGGCAACCACCTCTCTCCCCACCGTTAGCACATCATTTCATTAGCTGTACCCGGGGAGTGGGGCTGAGCAGGAAAGAGGGGGCAAAGCAAGTTGACATGCCCCACAGCTAGGACAAGGTGAGGGTCAATAAAATATAGTGTTCTTATCGAAAACTTAGAACTATCAATTTGACATATGAATTATGCCCTAAGTTAATGATCCCCTCAAAACAAAGTGGGTTTCTCAGGTGATCCGATACACGTGCTGGCCTATGCGAGAGCCCAAGCTCAGTGAGCTACGTTCCAGCTCACAGGGGTCCACGGCCTGGGGGTGACGGCATCTCTGCGCTGCAGTGCGGGCCTCACCAATGCAGTCCAACCACTTCGGATGGCTGAGCAGTGGGACAGAAATAACGCGGACCCCAAAGCCAACTGAGGGTCCGGGATGGGAAGACTGCACAGATGGCCTGCAAGGACCCAGCGAAGGCGCTGCTGCTTCTGCCACGAGGCTTGGAGGGGCCTCCAGACCCCGCCCCAGCAGAGCGGTGACACCACCGGAGTGGGCCCTCAGCAGGCCCCTGCTCTCCAGGGTGTGACTGACCCAGGGAAGAAAGAAGAGAGCACGGCCTCCAGAGAGAGGAGAGGAAAGCAGGGAGCGGAGGGCATGCAAAGAGTCAGGTCCCGGGACCGGGTGTGTATTCGGTGCTGGGAGAACACGAAAACAGGTGGAAGCGAAGATAAGCCAGAAGCCTAGGAAGAAGGAAGACAGGCATTTCATACTACGAGGGTTTCATCTATTTTTTTTTTTTAAATATATTTTTATTGATTTTTTTTTACAGAGAGGAAGGGAGAGAGATAGAGAGTCAGAAACATGGATGAGAGAGAAACATCGATCAGCTGCCTCCTGCACATCTCCCACTGGGGATGTGCCCACAACCAAGGTACATGCCCTTGACCGGAATCGAACCTGGGACCTTTCAGTCCGCAGGCCGACGCTCTATCCACTGAGCCAAACCGGTTTCGGCTCATCTATTTTTTAAAACCTAAGATTCCCCACCTCTCTCTCACTCACATATATAAACATACAGCTGACCCTGAACAATGTGGAGGTGGGGGCGCCCACCCCTGCACAGTAAAAATGTTTACAGCTTCTGACTCCCCCAAACTCAGCCGTCCCTCAGTATGGGGGGTGAGGGGACTGGTTCCAGGAACCACATGGACCCCCAAACCCACAGATGCCCAAGGCCCTTACATCAAGTGGGTAGAACCCCCACGTCCAGACTGCTGAACCTGCGGAGGGGAAACCCAGGGAGAGAGAGGGCTGCTGTTCCCTGTGGAAGCCTGTTGTCCAGGGCCCACTGTGGTCCATGAACTGAGCTCTACGTTCTCTTAAACTTGAAGATTGCATCGGTTTACCTTAGAAATAGAAACAGGAACAACTTTCTTCATCTCACATCCTTTTTCTTTGTGAAAATAGTTCACTACATTGAATTAATTATATCAACAGAGTAACTGTTACCTGTAAATATTCTGAAAAGCGATAAAGGAACCAACACAAATACCAGAATAACAAAGGCTAAAAAGAAAACGAAATCTCAGTGCCCGCGGCTTGGGAACTCGGTGCTCAGGAAAACCTTTCCAGTTAACTAAGGTGCTAGCTCAGCACTGAAACCTCCCCCATCATTTCTGATTTTAAGTCATTCTTATGTTATCATTTCCCTTGTGACCCTACCATCATTAATAGCCCCTTCCCTTTCTAATTTCTTGTTGACTTAGAAACCAAGTCACCAAGCTCATTAGTATTATAGATGAAATAAGCCCCTTCATGGACAAAGTGATGAGCTGTAATTAATTAGCAAGAGCCTGGCTCTTGATCCGTCTGGTTCTCAGATGCACTCCACGCAGGCAGGGTTTGATCCTGCGCCCCGCTGATCAACATCAGAGCTGGGGCATTCTTCCAGACATTCTGAAACCGATTTAGGGCATTAAATCCATAGCTAGAATGTTAGCCGTGTGCACTGCAGTCAGTAAGAAATGTAAACAAAAATACTCCAATTACTCCTTGATATGTGTATAATATGAGTGTGTATTTTCTCAATAAAGGCAGACAGTTTTAAAGGGTGATGCGAAGTATTTTCAGCTCCAACACCAACAGTTAAGTTCACACACCCATTGGAGATTCTGCTTCTTAATCCCTCAGGACTCACCTGACCACACAATGGCTTATCAATACGAGAGGAACAGTAACAGGTAAGTCTGAGATTCCCTCAACAGACAATCTGATTCCCTAATAATGTTCATGTGGTAAGTTTGTTGAAGGCAATACAATGAATACCTTCTACTGACAAAGGGGAAGCTAGCAAACCTTAACAGAAAAAAGGATCTATTTGCTTCACCCTCACCTCATTTCACTACTACTCCTGCCTTCAACTGTGCCCGGTGTCAAAATCCAAAGACGCTGTCGCACCCTCTGGAGAGAGGCTGTGGAGAGAGTGACTGCTCCTGAAATATAGTTGGAGCCGCTCCCCTGTGTGTCCCCCTCACTCCTTACAAAAGCTCCCTCCACCGCCAGCCCTGCGCCTTCTGAGGACTCTGCGGTGCAGACGAGGCTGGTCCTCTGCCTTCTCCACCAGCAAGGTAGGGTCCTCTTGCCTTTGCCACTTGCAGCTTCCAAACTTTTGTTGCTGTGTCTCCTTTCTCATTCTCCCCATCCTACGGGGTTAAATCCTTTAAAAATATCTTTTTCAGCCTGGCGGGGTGACTCGGCTGGTTGAGCATTATCCTGGGCACCAAAAGGTTATGGGTTTGCCCTGACCAGTTTGGCTCAGTGGCTAGAGCGTCAGCCTGTGGACTGAAGAGTCCCGGGTTCGATTCCGGTCAAGGGCATGTGCCTTGGTTGCAGGCACATCCCCAATAGGGGGTGTGCAGGAGGCAGCTGACAGATGTTTCTCTCTTATGGATGTTTCCAACTCTATCCCTTTCCCTTCCTCTCTGTAAAAAAATCAATAAAATATATATTTTTTTAAAAAAGGTTATGGGTTTGATTGGTGGTCGGGGTGCATGCAGGAGGCAATTGATCTGTGTTGCACATCGATGTTTCTCTCTCCCTGCCCCCCTTTCTCTTTAGAATCAATGAAAGTATTCTTAGGTGAGGATTTTTAAAAAAATCCTACAAACATCTTTTTGATATTTTATTGATTGACATTTTATTAGTGTTTTGGGAGGGAGCCAAAGTAAATGCTTGTCTTTGGTCCACCGTCTATCTGCAAGTCTGTCACTGAGTTTAACCTTGAGTATTCAATATCCAAAAGACAGCGATCTCCACTGAAACATGAAAATGTGAATTGTATCTTTTTCTGAACGCCTTTTTCCTCTCTCTACTCGTAAAGGCTTTCCCTTTCCATTGGCTTTCTTGTTAGAGGTTAGAGATCACAGTGCTCAGTGGAGACGGCCCACACCCATGCAGAGGCACCGCCTGGTGGGCCCGCACACTGTGTAATAAGTTTATCGCCGCCCAGGTCTTCTCTCCCGCTCAGTCGTTCCCATCGCAGGCCTCCAGAGGGATTCCCAAAGCAGAGCTCCTCATCTCCTCCCAAACCGACTCCTTCCTTGATCCTTCTCCCATGATGTCACGTATTGCTGTTCACCAAAACCCAAACCAGAGACTGGGGGGTAACCTTCACTCCCCATTCAATGCATCCCGTGTCCAGCAGGTCGCACCAAGTCCTGACAGCTAAGCAGTCCCTTTCCACCGGCCTCCTCAACACATCCCCACAGCAGGCAGAATGACCGCTGCTTTAAGATGGAAGGTCCTTAAAAATCACCTACTCCCAAGCCCATCAGCTCACTAGTGAGGAAAAGGAGGACAGAAGTGACCTACTCAGAATAACACCTGTAACCTAGAAAAACCCTGGTTGCAGAAAGCAGTAACTTCTAACAAGTGCCCCCTATCGCCTCTATACCTTAACTTTTCCAAACAGGCACATCACTTCTATAAACAGAAGACTTGGAAAATCAAGCTCCTCGCTTTATCCCATCCCGATTAGAAATGCAGCTTAAACCAGACACTGCTGAATCACTTCCCACCGACCAGGGCATCCCCGGAAGAGTTCCATCTTTGAGATTTCCATTTGAGATTCAGCTGATATTCTGCCACTGATTAGTTTACCTTCCATTTCGAAAAGCCCAACATTCCTGCAACGTAAGACCCCACTTTCAGAAACTGGGGTGGGGACTAACCATGCAAGGCCAAGATGAAGGGGATCATCTTTGTTGGCTTCATCTGTCTCTGGTCTAGTTAAAAACAAAACAAAACAAAACAAAACGTAAAAAATAAAACTTACTCATACTTTTAGGGTAAGAATCACAGGGGAACCCACAACACGGAAACCATTATCAGCACGACAGGAGAGACAACAGACAGTGGGTATGCGAGGCGTGCTCTGATGTTAAGCGTCACTGTATAGTGTACACGTCTCCTATGAAGTGGCTTCGGACTTTCTCACTAAATACAGTGAATGTGGACACTAGACCAATGTTCTTCATCCTGTGAAAAATTGTGTTCCTCTATTAGAATAAGTTCTGGAGATGGGCAAGGGAGGGGAAGCTGCAAACTGTAAGGCTGTTCCTCAGGAACTTTTGTACTTCTTTCAAGTGTAGACTTAAAACAAATTAGGCATTTTCATCAACCAAATTTTTGTATAATCCTAACTTGCTATCGCTTATGACTTATTTCATACTATATCAAGGCCTCTTTGGCAAGTTAAAACAGAACACAGAAATCTTCTCTTGAACTAATAACTTCAGAACTCGAAGAAGGGTGGGGAAGCACATGGTTTCCAGCTGTAAAAAGGTCTTTTTGCAGGCCAGAGTGCCAGTCTTCTATTATATAGGGAATTTGGTGCCCATTTGAAACGACAGCCAAGAGAATGCTTGGTCATATTTTATTTTTCAATATAAATGATGTGGAGTGAAAAACTGAGCCCTAGCCGGTTTGCTCAGTGGATAGAGCGTCGGCCTGCAGACCGAAGGGTCCCGGTTTCGATTCCGATCAAGGGCACATGCCCAGGTTGCCGGCTTGATCCCTGGTGGGGGGCATGCAGGAAGCAGCTGATCAATGATTCTCTCTCATCATTGATGTTTCCCCCCTCTCTCTCCCTCTCCCTTTCTCTCAGAAATCAATAAAAATTTGCTTTGGCTATACTGGCTTTTGGTCACATAGGCCACTATGGTATCTGGTTGCTTTAATCTTTAAATATTGCAACCCTCTGATTCCTAAATTCACTCCCCTCAGAATCCTACTCTGCAGGTAGAGTGGAAAGAACATGATGGAGAATTCTGGAAACGGATGTCAGTCCTGCCCCCGCTGCCCACTAACCGATCCTCAGCTCCAGGAGCCTTTCAGGACGTGCGTTTCCTCACCTGTGGTTGGAGCAGTCCCCTGCTCCCTTCCACCCTCCAGGCAGCCCCCTGTGGGACTGTCTGCATTAGCTTCACAACCCTGCCGGCTGCAGGCCACCGCCCTGGGGCTGGCCATTCTCCAATCAAAGTTGTTTTCCCTCCGTTTACTTAATGCATTTTTAAGTTAAATATATTGGGGTGACATTGGTCCAATAGGATCACATAGGTTTCAAGTGTACATTCCTACGATACGTGATCTGCATGTTGCATTGCGTGCCCACCACCCAGAGTCCAATCATCTTCCGTCACCTTCCATTTGGCCTACAATCAAGCTTTCTACTCTGCCGATTGCACTCAACCAGTGACAACTCAACCAACTACTGTTGGAAAGCCACTGACCCACTCCCCCTCT